CTTGAGGGTGTTATGGGCCACGGCTTCGATTACCTGAATCGCGTGCTAACCGTTGATCAGCCCACAGAGCACTTGCCACAGCGTATGGTGTCCACGCCACCAGCAGCAGCAGCGGCAGCAGCTGAGCCAACCACATCGCTGCCTCGACCACGTTTCACGCAGCTAAAGATTAATCAGCCGGCGAGCAGCAAATTCCTGGATAACTATCACGCTCAGCGACGCAACGATAGCTTCTACTTTGCCCACAATTGTGCAATTGTTCTAGCCCATCATCGTTGGCTGCAGCCCGATCTAGAGGCTAGCACCTCGGCGCCGCCGGAGGTTCAGCTGCTGCCAGCTAGCAAGGAAGTTGTGTCCAGTGTGGCGCTGCGTCTCATCGAGCTGCGCTGCAATCGCAACAGTCTGGCTGCACACTACGAGGAATTCAAGCCGGAGCCAGCCACTCATCGCTTCCGGCTGCCCGACGCGCTCTGGCATCTGCTGGCTACGCAGAGGACGCACTACGTCTTTGTGCTAACCATTGAAGGGGATACCAAGCGTCTGGCCTTTGACGAGACGCCAGCAGCGGAGAAGCCACAAGAGGAGCAGTAAAAAGAGAAGACCACAGAGCAAAGTAAAGGAGTTCAAAGAGGAGATTCAAGGAGATAGAGGAGTAGCTAAAAGAGAAATCAGAAGAGAAGACTGAGGAGCAGCCAGAAGAAAAGACTGGGGAAGAGCCCAAAGGGGATTCTGTAGAAGATTAAGCAGACGTAAGGCCAAAGGAAACAGGAGCAGAACCAGCTTCCAAAGCAATCTAATAGAAAACAAGTAAGAACGTTGCAGTCAGGCGTTACCGACTGCAGAATACTCATTCACATCCCATTAACAATATAGTAGTTAAGTTTCGCTCTAATACTGTAGAATATACAGGTTTTTCCGATTTGCCACGCCCCAACTGGGCGTAGACACCTCATTTTTGGTCAGTTTTTAGAAAGAGATAACGGTACCCTAACTGCAAAGTTTGAATGTTTACCCTCAAAAAATGTGAAAATTACAGGGTATTTTTCGATATGCCACGCCCCTAAAGAGGCGTAAAAATTATTTTTGGGGAATCGATAGAGGAGGCTACCAGTAACTCAACTATCCAAATTTGAAGCTTCTAGCTATTATACTTTAGGAGATATAAACTTTTGCGGTTTGCCACGCCCCCTGTGGGCGGAAATATATCCGACAAAACTTTTTGGTCTTGGGTGATCAGTCCGAGTATATATACAAAATTTGAGGTCTCTGCCATCAATAGTGTCCAAAATATAAGAGAATTTAAAAAATCACTATATCTTCAGGTCCGATTTGCCACGCCGTGGGCGTGGACTTATAATTTATCTTAAGACTTTATAGAATCATACCATTAGCTGACGTACAAAATTTCAGCATTCTAGGTTTACAACTTTAGGAGATACAGTTTTATCCGATTTGCCACGCCCCCAATGGGCGTAGATATTTCCGCCATAGCTCGTGATCTTGGGTGGTCAACGCGGACCTACATACCAAATTTCAGCTTTCTATCTCTTCAACAAACATGATTTCTGGTATATCGGAAAATGCATTTTCCGATTTGCCACGCCCCTAGTGAGCGGATCGGGAAAATTTTAACACTTTATAAATCGGAGATATACACGAGTATGTGTTCCAAATTTCAAGTCTCTAGCTTCAATAGCGCCGAAATAGATTGCGTTCATACGGACAGACGGACAGACGGACGGACGGACAGACGGACAGACGGACGGACAGCAAGACGGACATTGCACAAAACCAATATACTGATTCACTTTCGTGAATGAGTATAATTAAAAAAATTCAATTTAAAATTTATTTTAAATGAGGTAAGTTTTAATGAATTTCTTATTTAAGATTATATTCTCAATTCAAGAAGAGGTAGATAAAATATTTACATTTGATGAAAAATGCTAAAAGTCAAATGCAGTCTACCCATAATGTCTAAAAAGAAAAAATCAGCTGTATATAAGTCCAGCTTCAGAATGATGAAAGATGTACATAAACATATATCATTTTCGGATTATTTATAGGGAATACAAAGAGCAGCTCACAGTTTTAGCTGTAGAACTGAAGATACAGACCCAATTAGCTACGCTCTAGTAGTGTTAACCCTCAAAATCTTAACGCCTAATCAAATAGTAACACAAATTAGGTATAGAGCCCATATACTCTATTTACTAAGTCAACAAGTATAGAAATGATTATTTGATAGATAAATAAATGATATTCAATGAGTCGTAAACAACAGAGTCATAGCCAGAGCCCAAAAGCTGTCCTGCCCCAATAATAGTTAAGGTTCAATTGTAATATGATTCATTCAGGAACATACATATCTCGCCCATATAATGGGAATCACGCGAATATTGATGATTCACTTTGTGGAGCTATTGACTGAACACGCACAAGAACTGTAAGTGGCTCCATGTGTCTGTTAAAAGAGCTCAAATCGTAAGAGAGCGACGAACTGAATCAGAATTTGAGACAGGTTTATTTGGCAGAGAGGGAAAGAGCGCGAGAGAGGGACACAAAGAGAGAGAGGGAGAGAATGAGCGAGCGCAAGAGCTTTAAGACTCTCGCCACGATTGTTGCCTAAGTCAAGTGGGTTAAAGCTGCTGCGTTGTCAGCAGTGCGGCGGCACAGTGGGGCAAACACTGTCAAATAGCGCGCGATTCTTACAATGTAAGCTAGTTGTTAAGAAACAAGAAGAAAATGCATTTATTAAGCAGAATTATATATAGAGAATGTCATTATTCAAGAGAAGTGCCAGCAGCTCTCAGGGCTGAAGAGTTGTTTCCATGATAGATTTATATAATTAACAAAAAGATCTCATACAATATAAAAAATATATAATACAGTAAGAATATATATATATATATATATATATATATATATATATATATATATATATATATATATATATATATATATATATATATATATATATATATATATATATATATATATATATAATAGAACAGAAGATATGCGTAACAAATTCACTATTGCATTCAAATGAACTAGTGAAGTTCATGAACTAAACTTGGTGTTATTCCATTGACAGATTTCAGTGCTGGTTCAACTGAACTATACATCTATTGTCCACAAGAAATTGAATATTCTAGAGCTAAACTAGTTGAGCAATCTGAATCAATTGAACTAATTAAACTATTTGTAAGAGCGCAGCTGCAGAAGCTACTAACGATACTTGAGCTGCATATTGATAATACATTTTATATATATAATTATACATATGTATGTGCATAAATATATATGTACATATGTACATATATATAAAATGAATTGAACCCATTTGATTAATAATTCAGTATTTTTATATGAATCACTTATTTGACTTATCGCATATATATTATTATTAATATTACTTATCTTGTATGCATATAACTTGAGCTAAATTAACAAATGACTCATAAAAAAAAAAAAAAAAAAGAATTCGTATGAATGCTCTTAATTCATTTTCATATTCAAGAACTGAAATTCAAATTTTGCGCTGCGTTTCGCTCACACGCGAACCACTGTGCCGCACTGATAGTTGCTGTAATACAAAAAAACAAAAAACAAGAACGAAAAACTCGTATTTCTCAGCGACTTTTCCGTATTATTTTAATTTGTGCCGCTTTAGTTCGCCATTCGATAATGAAAAAATATTTTGATAGACACAAAACAAAAAAAAAAAAAAAGAAGCAAAACAAGAACAAAATCAAAATAAAAAAAATAACAATATTTGGCACTGATAAGATAAAATAAATATAACAAACGGTGCCCACATACATATACACAAAAAAAGAGTCATATATTTGGCGCTCAATATCAACAACAACAACAATATTTATAATAATAACAACAACAACGACAACATCTAGTGCAGAAGACACGACTAAACGATTGCGTTGGCTAATTGGGGGCGCTCATTCACATTTCAGACCTCAGCTGGAACAGCGGTAGCAACAGTAGCAGCTCGAATCGATCCTATTTATATATATATATACATAGACAATATATCATTCATCATATATATATATAGACAACTATGGCTGATGCCCGCATACAGTTCAAGGTGCTGAAGGGCTTTCCCACCCCGGCGGAGGATAAGATCGAGACGCAGGCGTTTCTGAATGCGGCCAAGGAGATTGTAACTGTAATTGGTAAGTTTGGAAGAATGGATTTTTGGATCGATCGATCGATCATGCAAGTAATTGTTTATCTAAATACCCGCACAGAGACCTTTGGCAAACTCTTCACGCCCGTTATCAAAGATATGAATGGGAATATAAACGTAAGTCTGTGGACAGTAAATCGTCCATGTGTATGATCTAATGTCTTGATTATGCTTCGATTTGATAGAAACTAACCAAGGTCTATGGCACAGACATTCTGAAATACAAGTATCTGGAAGACATGATAGTGCTGAATGTGAATGTCGACGACTATGCAGCGACGGCGCTGCTCTGGCTGAAGCGCGGCCTCCAGCTGATCTGCACCTTCTTCGAGAACATCTACAACGATGCACAGAACAAGGAGACGCTCAAGCCGCATCTGCAGGATGCGTATGAGAAAACGTTGAAGCCCTATCATGGCTTCATCGTGCAGAGCACGATCAAGGTGAGTCCATTCCATCGCATCGCATCGCATCCATTTGCCTGCTCGATCGTAGCGCTAACAAACTTCGACCATGTTTACAGATCATCTATAGCTGGGTGCCCACGCGTAGCCAACTGCTTGGCCAAGGACCAGCGCAGCTGGAGAACATGGAGGTGCTGACCAATTATTTGCCTACAATGCGAACGCATCTGGATCGGATTGATGCCCTACTGAAGGCGCACAATTTGGATGATGCGAGCAAAGTGTGATTTGCCAAATGCTTTAGCTCTTTAGGCTAAGATCTACTAGAATAGACAATGCTTTAAATATTTAGGAATACACATAAAGAAACACACAAGCACACATACATATTTAATGTTCTATCACATACATTTTATAGCTGCCCATTTGATTTGAGTGCATTTGCGTTCCTCTTGTCTCTGGCCAGGCTGCAAACGTGGCAGATGAGCGCCGTTAGCGTCTCCAGTCCGATGAGCACAAATTGTGCATGCGATAGCAAGTGCAGCCAGAGGTTGGCATAGACGACGGCCAGACGCAAGTAGACCAAGGCAGGCAACAGCACACAGGGCGTCAGTGTTAGAAACAGCCACATGGTCGTGGCATTTGTGGTCAGATTGATGGAGTAGCTGGCATAGAGACGCAACCACTCAGTGCCAACGGCCAGCACGTATGCCAGCAGCATGGCCAGACCCGTATAATTCCACAGCAGATGCGACTGCAAGCATTACAGTTAGTTAAGTACATGCATATAGAGTAGTTCCCAGTTAAGCCAACTCTTACCCAGAAGCAGAGATGCAGCAAATAGCTGACGCTCCAGAGTATTGAGACATAGGCGTTTGCTTGCAACAACATTTGCAAGATTAAATTCGACTTTTGTGGTATTACTGCAAGATTAATATGTAATCAATTTCTATTTTTATTAAAATTAGTTTTCTTTTCACACAAACATGGCTGGCCATAATAATAGTAGCTGTTGCTACTTTTAATTTCCATATCCACTTCCATCTGTATGGGTGCAAAAACTTCCAAATGCCGCCCTGCATTTTATTTACTTTGTTATTGCCGGCCTCGGTTGCCAGGACAACGATAAACAATGTTTGCTTGCCATTAGACAGAAATGGGGCTTTAACTAAATATTTATTTGCAATTCAAACAATTGCAGTTAACGTGCTGCCAATTGATTTTATGATGGGCAGCACTGCACAACATTTATCAAGATCGCCAATTGCATGTATCGATGCATATATATCGATATGCAAAGTTAGCGCTGCCAGACTTACAACTAGTTTATTACAATATTAACGGACATATGGAGACAGAGAGAGAGAGAGAGAGAGATAACGATGGAGAAGCTCAGCTTACTCCGTCTGGGTAAAATATTTATGAAAATTTAATCATGAAATATAAAGATGCCGTAAAAATTGTAATTTCGTTTTTTTAATAAATAAAATTCTAATAGCATGTCATAACACTTAATATTTATATAAATACGCTTAATGTGATTTATTATACTACAATTGTAAATTGTACAATTAGTTAATTTTATTTCAATACTTTATTTTAGATTAGCTGAGATTCTTTTAACAGGGCAGACTCGAGCTGATGGCCACCTCCAGAGAATTTACTGCAAATAGAGAGGGATAGCGAAAGAGAGAGAGAGAGAGAGAGTCCGATTAGTTTGCGAATCGTGTAAATATTTTTGCGAATTGAAATACCACTTACAAAACTTTTGATCATGCTTGTAGACGAGATTCGTCAGGATGCCGGCCATCATCTGATGGCAACGTATATAGGTGCTCTCAATCTCGCCGACTTGATTCAGGGCCAAGTACTCCATAGCCTTGTTGGCCTCCTCGGTATGGTAATAGCTATCGGCTTCATCCAGACTCAGTGTATTGTCGGAGCTTATGTCGAGGCTGAGAGCATGGGACACATTCAGATAGTTGCCGCAGCTATTCCACTCCATGTCCAGCACAAATATCAAATGAAAGATCTGCTCCAGAGCACTGTGAAACTCATCAAATTCCTCGGTTAGCAGGCAGTGCTTGCATATGGAGTCCAGGTACTCCTCGTGCAGTTTCGCCAGCTCACGTATCGTAAACACCTTCGGCAGCTGTTCCTCGAAGTGGGCACCAATGGCCTGCAGCACATGAGTGCATAGATGTGTGTGCAAGCTGCTGATCATGCTGATCAGCCAGAAGCGTAAAATTTCCAATCGGCGCACCGTCAATCCAACCAGGTCGAGCGGGCCGTATACCTCTGTGCCCTTGCGCTTGATGAAGTGCATGTTCTCCAGCTTCCATATGGCCCACTTGACCTTCAGCATGAGACGCCAAATCCTGTTATAGGATAGCATTTGGTTCGCCGTAATGATGCGGTCTAGAGCCGGTGACATCATATAGGCCATAGCAATTGCATTCAGCGCCTCGTACACCTTGAGGGAATGGGCGCGCGAACGTGAGATGACCTCCACATACAGCTCACAGGCCATGTTCGGATAGTGACGGTCCAGAATGTCGTACAGTTCCGTGGTCAGGTCCGACGACGACGCCCAATTCTGGCCGGACTCGATTTGGCGAAAGAGACTGATGTAGAACGGATACATTATATAGTCCGCCTGGAACATGAGCACGTGCCGCAGGAAGTGCACGTGGTCGGCGATGACCAGTTCCTCGCGATACCAATGCATCATATATTGGTTGGCTTGATCGCAACGCTGTCGCAGCACCTTGCTCAGAGCACGGGGCATCACTTGCGGCAGCTGCAGCTTGGTGCACTTCTCCAATGCTTCAAGTATGTCGAGCACCTGCAACGGCACCGGCTCCTGCTCCATTTTGATGGCACACGCCCGGTCGCTTCGTATGTGTTGATTGAACATGCCAATTAGCCGGCGATCGCCGACTCGGGCGGTGGCCATCAGAGTCTGTTCGAAAAACTGGGACAGCTTGTGAGGGCTCGGATTTAAAATGCTTTCGCGCCGTCGACCCTTTGGCTGAGCGCAGCCAGCAAAGATTTTGAGCTCGTCAAAGTATTGCCTGATCAGGTCATCGTGCAGCGGCCTCAATTGGTGCGTGGAGTTCACCAAATCGCCCAGCAAATTGATGATCGCCAGCAATTCCTGTGTCTCGCCCGACTCCATGGCGTACGTGATGAGCAGCCTATAGAATTCACAGTGCTGCAGCTCCGCCAGAATTGCTTTGTGCTGCTGCGGCGCGTCCTCAGGCAGGCGACGCTCGCATATGCCCTGGCCATCGGCGCTGCTGTATTCCACAATGAACTCGAGCCGGCTGTCATTTAGCTCGGCATGCCGCCACCAATTGTCGCTGATTTCACAGAAGCGCCGCAGCGTCATCAACAGCAGCGCGGTGACCATCTTCTGGTAGGTCACATGCATCCGAGTGTGCCTGTAGAGCTTGGTCAGCAGATAGGCGCTCCTCAGATGCGGCGGAGCATCAACAACGGCATCGGAAGCGACCAGCTGAAGCTCCTGCAGCTGCTTGAACTGCTCTCGCATGTGGAGCACAAGGCCGATCAGCGTTACGCCCGACTCGTTCTTGCCGGACGCCTTGTCCAGCAGCCGTCGCTCGAAGACCAACAGCTGCTGCACGATCGGCTGCATGAGATCGCGCAAGCCACCAGCGAAGCACTCCAGGGTGCCCGTTGTCGTCTTGCCGCCAGTGGGCCGCAGCAGATCCTTGACCAATTGACGCAGCCGGTACATGGCCTGCAGGGCCGGCTGCACCTCCTCGTCCAGCGTGCTCTTGAGTGTGCCCTGTGGGAAGACTTAAATTGTCGTGGTTTGCACTACTTCGATGCATCGCAGCCCACTCACATGGCTAACGCTGCAGATGGACACATTCGAGCGGACGCTAATTTCCAGCTTCTCTGGCCGCACCTCAAAGAAGCAACAATCGACGGGCTCGAAAAACATGAAGATGATCTCTCGCAGCAGGCACATCTCGTTGACCGTCTTGGGCAGCGACTGCTTGATCAGGCTGCGCGAATACCTATTCATATGCTGGACATGGGCAATGGCAAAGTTGGCACAGGGGTTTTTGGTTGGCGTCAGCGTATGGACATTGATGTCGTCGCGCCACCAATGCGAGTGGACCGCTTTGGCCATATGATCGACACTGTAATTGCTGACATCTATGGGCGGCCGTGGTGGCTCCAGCGCCTTCAGCTTGGGTAGTGTGCACCAGTTGTGGCGCGACTGTATGCCACTGAAGGAAATGTACTCCGGCTGTATAATGGTGAACGTTGTCTTTTTCTGCCCAGCTGGCCGCTGGGGCGCCGGTACATAGGTATTCGTGCCAATGGGATAAGCTCGGCAGTTGGCATACACTATCGCCATTTCCTTCTGATCCAGGCTCGTCACGGCTTCTTGCTCTGGCTCGTAGTATGAGCTCTCCTCGCTGCTGGTTTCCTCGCTCCAGTCCTTAAAGGGAACAATGCATAACATTACAATTTGAAAGTGCAATAAACGAAGGGATAACCTACACTTAGAGTGCTATCACTGTCGTAGGGTTCGATGGGAATCAAATCTTCGCGTAGATAGGCCCCCCAATTGATTTCGAATTCAACAGGATTCGGTTTGGTCAGAAATTCAGGCGTATTGAAGGCCGGGGCTGATTGGATTGCAGCTCGTATGGCCAGAAGACGCTCCTCCATCAATAGCCGGTTGCGTCGATGCATCTGAATCGGTTCGTATGCCATGTGCAGGAGGAAATCAAGAATGGAATATTGTACATCTACTTCGTAGTGATCCTTCCACACTCCATGGTTCATAATCACAGAGCACAAGAAGCGTACAGCTCTCGCCTGATGCATCAGGCCCTCATAGTGGAAGCGATCGACCAGATTTTCGACGGACCGGCTCACCTCATGACTGTTGATGCTCAGGTAGCGATGGTTGCGTACCTTGTGCACTGCATAGTGCAATAGCGAGTTAAGCTTAACATTGGGTAACTGCAATAGTGTGCAAACCTCTTGTTCATTGAATGGAAATTTTTTTTATTTATTTGGTTTATTTGACTTACGTCCTTTCCAACTAAGCACTTTACTAGCTTTTCCAAATTCCGCAAAACATCCGGGTAGCGTGGATCTTCTGCCATTCTTTAACTCTGGATGCTGTCAAAGCAATTGCGCTGTTGATTAAAATTCGCTCACATCAGATTAAAAACCAATAAGTTCGAGCAAATGTTTTTGACAACTTATTTAAATGTTTCCTTTACGCATTCTGAGCAGCAATGCGCAAAATTGCGCAGAGCGCATTTAATCGAGTGACCATACCAACGACTTGGGGTGACCCGATATTTGTTATCGAAAAAACGTAAACAACTGTAAATTCCGACACTTGATTGAATTTTGTCAACGAAAAATGTGTCCAAATAATCGAACAGCACAGCCAATCTATGTCATCCTCGGCTCCGGCGGACACACAGCCGAAATGTGTAAAATCAATCAGGCCTTAATGCAGCACGATGATCTTAAGCAATACCAATCTGTACGTTATATTGTGGCCAACAGCGACGACACTTCGGAAAAGCAAATCCGCTCCGCTTTACCGGCTTTAAAGGACAGCGACTTTATACGCGTGCCGCGCAGCCGCAGCGTCGGCCAAAGTTGGCTCAGCAGCATATTTACAACGCTGTGGGCCTTGCTCTGGAGCTGCTGGCTCATTTGGCGCGATCGGCCCAAGCTCGTACTCTGCAACGGACCCGGCACCTGTGTGCCCTATTGCTATGCGGCATATCTATGGCGCCTGCTCGGCCGCTTGCCCGCCCACAGCAAGATCGTGTTTGTGGAGAGCTATTGCCGAGTCGAGACGCTCTCGCTAAGCGGTCGCCTTCTGTTGCCACTCGTGGACATGTTCGTTGTCCATTGGCCGGCGCTAGCGACTCGCTACGCCAAAAAGTCGAACTTGCGTTATTTTGGCAGAATTTTATAAGCAATTAAAAATAAATTGTATTGCAAAATAAACTTTATTGCCACTAGATGAATATGCCCATAGAGAGTATATGCATTAAGCTTATGGAAATGAACGGGAGTGCCCGACTGGCAGACACCCTGATCCCTGGCCAGAGCTGCAATTCGAATCATTCATGTTCCATCCAATCGACCTCTCTTGCATGTATTGTTTTGTCTCACTCCATTTCATGGCATCTAGTGTTGTCAATTAAAGTTGTCTCTTTCTATATACATATGCATATACACACATATATACATATGCCACCCCTCCTCTGTTTATATTGATATGCAATGACTTCCGTTAACACAATAAATTTTCGCAGCATACATACATATATTATAAATATAATTTTTTATTTGTTTATTTTTTTTTTTGCCAGCCTCAACTAGTTTAATATGTGTAAAAAAATAGATGGAAATTTAAGATGAGCAAAAGAGAGTCGATAAACAAAAATATTTGAATGGGCACATACAAAACTTCTGATATTCAAGCAGAAAATACCTAACGGACAACTTGAGTAGTATACATAGATATAGCTAAATTATTTGGAGCGCTTGCAGATGTTGCGATGCGCTTCCATTTGGTGGCCAAGCAGCTCCTGGCCGCATTTGGGACACTCTGTGGTCTGCTTGTAGAGCGAACGCTGGCGCATCTGACGCGGTGTCATGTCATTCTCACTGGTCCTGGCCGACTCACTGGACGAACTGGATGAGCTGAGATCTAAGGCAGCAATGTCGGCACTCGAGTAGCCGGAGCTCTTCAAAATCTGACGCTTTGATGTTGCGGACTTGCGCTTGTTCACCTTTGGCTTATGCTTGTTGTTTGGCTTGTTGATGCTGTTGCTGTCGCCGGGCAGTGGGGCGTTCGGCTTAATGGTTGGCGGCGGCACTCTGATGGTGATGCTGCAGCCGTCAAGATGATTGGAAAACTCCGAACGCTTCATTTTCTCAAAGCAAATGGGGCAGGTGGTTATGTCATTGCCAGCATCGTATTGATAGCGCGAACTGCAGGGCACCACATCATTCTCACGCTGGAACTCCTGCAGCAGCGTGTCCTCACCGAATAGATCATCGATGATCGACTGATCGGCCAGCTCAGCGGCAGCATTCAGTTCACTGATACTATCATCGTACTCATCATCAATCATGAAGATTTCATCGTCCCCATACAGCGTCTCATCCTCCATCACCTCACGCTTGATGTTGATGGTGCGCTCCTGGCTGGACAATTGTGAAGTCTTCTTGGCAACGTTTGGTGTCGGCGCCTTGGGCACCGGCTGCACATCGTCGTCGCTGTCTGAAATATTAATAACAGGCTCGACCACATCGCATACCATTACATCCTTATCGTAGGACACCCAGCCGTCGATATTTTGGGAAACCCGACGACGCTTGCTTGGATTGTTTTGCTTGAATTCTGGCTCCTGCTTGATCTCCTCCTTCACCTTCACATTCATCTTCTCCTTGTTTTGATTATCGTTTTCGAAACGCTTTGACCACACCGCACGCAAATGATTGCGATTGACAGTGTCCGACAAGCGAGCAGGACTGGCAGTGGCGTCGGTACTGCCGTTGGTCAAACTGTAGCCCTTGCCGTGCATTTCATCTCGGTTCGATGAAGTGGCTTTGGTATCGCCTTTGCTGTCCTCGTCGGCGCTGCTTAGATCGATCAGGTCCTTGAAGCCAACCACATTGGCACGCCTCTTGGTGCCAGAGCTTGGCGCGAGGCCACCAAGGGGGTTGTTCGATAAGCCCGGATATGATGTGGGCGGAAAGGCACCCGGCAGACCGAGAGCCGGCTGCACTTGTGGCAATAGGTTAACTGTATGTTTTGGCTTGCCAAAATAATTGCGTATATCATCACCAGCTGTTGTTGTTGTTGTTTCATTCTTGAATTTGGTTGTGTACTTCGTACCTTTGGGTTTTGGCACTGATTTGCTGCCAGGTGGCTTGGGTGGCTCGCTCACCTTTTCGAAGGTGCCGCCGCAATCGCGCTGATGCTTGGCCCACCATTGATCGCTCGGGCCGGGCGGGCGGTTCGAGGTACGCTTCACCCAGCCCTGGAAGGGATTGTGATACTGGCAGACGCCATTGCAGCGCCAGATGTGAGTCTTATAGGCATCCACCTCATCGTGAAAGGTATGATAGACAGTAATATTGGTGCCAGCCACTTTATTAATGATGCCCATGATGCGCTTAAAGTTTGGTCCATGTCCGCCATTACCCTCGCGTATATTGAGCACAAAGCAATAGGCGTGTATCATTTCGTGCTGTCAAAATGGAATACAAATCGCATACATTCAGATGATATAGCGAGAAGCATAAATGGGTTTCGTGAGCTCACCAGCAATGTTTCGACTAAGTCCTTGCGTGGACGCAGCTTTAGCAGCGGCTCACTGAGCCGTATGATTACCTCCTTAACGAATCGGTTACCACGCTGATAGCAAATGCCAGCACAGGAATACATGCGCTTGCTCCACTCCACAACAACGGCGCCCAAACGCTTCTGAAAGAACTTCTGATCGAAGCGGACAAACATGGCAAATATGTCGGGTGTGGGATCAACTAGCTCCCACTCCGGATGCACTAGATTTTGTGTCTGATCCAAATAGTTATTGTAACCAACTGGCGAAGAGCTGGGTGCCTTCATTAGGTCCATATTTTCCTTGCGCTGCATACATACATCAAGATAATGTTTAATAGAAATAAGAAGCGTTGTATTGCGAACTGTGTTATATTTACGCTTGGAGGTGTGTCCTTGTTTAGATCTTTATTATTTTTGTTGTTGTTATTCTTCGTGTTGTTGCTAGAATTTGGTTTAGAGCTGGTCATGTCGAGGGCAAAGACTTCTTCATTGTCAACAGTCTCATTGTCGCTGACGTCTGCATCTTCGGCATTTATTTCGGCCTGAAGCTTCAGAGCCAATTGGTAGTCACTATCATCATGACCTGACTCCATCTCAGTCTTTTCCTAATCATAGAGTAACAAATTCGGACTTTTGTCTTTTGTGTGTGCAAAAACTGCGTTGTAACTTACACGAGCTGTTTCCGACTTGCTGTCAGATTTTTCGCCATTGAGCTGCTCCTGTAATTTCAGTGCAAATAAATAGTCCGGATCATCGGACATTTCGTATACAGTAAATGTAATTCGATGCGACCCGGCTACAATAGGCAACGTCAACGTTCTTTAAAATTCGCAACAATGTCGCGGCTAATGCGCGGCCAGAACACAGCTGTGTGATTTGGAATGTCTGGCAGCACTGTTCACAAGTATATGTATTTTTCGATAAATTTTTGCTGCCCTCTGTTATTATGTTATGTCGACATGTTATATTAAAATGACAAATTGTTGACATTTCCAATTTTTCTACTTTTGAAATCAAAAATTGCAGGCCTACTTTTCTAACTGCTACTACTACTAAGCCTACAGCAGCAATTATATATGTATATATGTATATACATATATATATATGTATATATTATATATATATGTATATGTATATATTGGCATTGATCGGTCCGCCAAATAAATATGTGCGCTTTCGATAAATTTGTAAAAACGTATCGATCAGCGGCTGTTGCGCTAAATTGTTCACATACCGCTCTTTAAACTTTGCTAACGTAATCAAGCATAGGTAATGACAGTATAACTTATAAAGATCAAAATACCGAAAAAAAATAAAAAACAAAACAAAACAAAAAACATCATAATAAAATGTACACAATTCAAAAACTCATTCATACACAAATAAATATCCGGGAAATCTAATTCCACTGTTAACCAACTACGTGAGTGTTATAGCGAATTTGAACTGTCCAATCGGGAATCCATCTATCAGTTAATTTGATATCCATCTAGTAAATATACAGGTTAGCTGGGAATAGCCACAAAAGCTGCTGATATGCAAAGATAAAGTCTGGCCCTATCCTACCGTCACTTATAGTCATACGATGGGCAAATTGAGTGCCCATTTAACAGTTGCACATTTCATTCTTCTGTGCTTGTGTACTTTCTTAAAAGAATTCTTAGAATTGCGCACACCAACACACGCGCATGTGCACATTGCGAGGGCGCATACGCACAAAGCACAACCGGGAGGAGCGTGCTTTTCATTGTTTAATAATATTTCTTGTAGATAGACGATATACATATAACTTGTAGATCGTGATAATTACATTAAATTGCGTGTATTTTGCAACAAATTTCAAGTCTCTACCCTTACGGAAGGACAGACGAAAAGTACAGAGCTAAATCGACCCAGCTCATTGACCCGATCAAGTATATATATTCTTAATGGTGTCTACCACACCTTCTTCTGCTTGCTACATTTAACAAAACCATTACATCCTGATTTCCCAAAAAATACATCATAATTAAGCTTATACATATATTCCTCTTCTAGATAAACAGTCAAATCGATCGCAAATCACGGCAACTGCAAACGTTTGCATAATGGAGCCAACTCTAACACCTTACTATATAGGCCTGGATAGATTTATCAAAGGACTCGCTCAGCTCGAGAACAATTCGATACACTTCCCGGCCAATGGGAGCTTAAGCAAAAACGAACACATGGACAACAATGCGAACATGGCTAGCAACGGTGAAATTCCAAATCGGCTGAAACCCAATAACTATGAAGTCAATATGCGCACTGATAATGAACTGCTTGTCTTCGAAATTGTCGATCCGAGTGAGATGACACAGGAGCAACTAGACTATGTCCAGAATTGTGATCTCTTTTCACCCGACATGATTCCGTCGACTTCTAGTAAGCGCCTGTACGAAAGGCAGGGAACGAGAACTATGAGCCAGGTAGCCCGATTGCTTTCAGTTCAATTCAGTTTCATATGATTATCTGAATTAATTTACACTTTGCTTTTTGCAGGTTGAGAACAATTGGGTGCCACCGCCCGCACCACCATTGCCTGTCTCTGAAGATTTCAATCTTTATACGGAAAATTTTCCACCACTGCCAGTGCCAAAGCGCAATGGGATGCGAAAACACTAACCAGGGATCCATTTATATAAAATACATAATTTTTCTATTTGGAGACGGTGAAAGTCACATGCGCACAGTTTCAGCATTAGGTTTCATCACGAAATTAGGGTACTTTTACATTCAAATATATTGGATCTGTCACTTTAAATTTAATTTTCTACACATTTTATATAGTCTTATAGTCTGTTTTTATAACAGTTCTGCCAGTAATTTCCGTACTTAAGAGAAAACCATGAAAATATGATAGCTAAAATGATAATAGTGCTATTGCATTGTAGCCATTACAATTAAAAAATTATGTAAGGAATAGTATTTTTATATACATATCCATTGTTATTATGAATAAAAACGCCTATAATCAATATTATTTTCACTCATTTAACTATAAGCCGCTCTTTCTCGCAATTCAAATAGCCGTTAATCATGAACTGTCAATCATTATAACGGGTCTTGAAACATTTGCTACTAAAAATGGCCATGTTTTTTTTTTACCGAAACAGAAATACTGCGAAAATACGGTAACAAGAAAAATGGTCACTTTGAGCTTACTCATAACTGCCACCTCGATAAGAACTCGGAATGCATCAACAAACCAATTTATAAATAAAAATAATATTTAATATTAACAAAACAATATGCTTTGATTTATTTTTTCAATTATTGTATTATTAAGTGCGATTTAAAGAAAGCTTTGGACTCTTATTATTATTTTGTTAAGAGTTTTAGAATAATAAATCTTTTTAGAATTTAAAATCTTGTCTTGAGTAATCCATATCATTTTGTTAATAAGAAAAAAACGTAAAAGAATGAATGCGTAAAAATCTCCAGCTTTGGCATAAAATTGCAACGTGTGGCAACCCTGGACTTACGATAGTAGGCGCTGCTGTGGAAATTTGGCTTTTGAGTCCAATCTGAACATTTTGAAGCATTAATTTCATTTGATAGAGAGCAGAGCTCAAAAGCAGTAAAATTCTAATGGATTTTGGACACGACAATAATCAGGACTTTTTCGAGAAACTGCACAGGTGAGTCGTGCCGTGTCGTGTCGAATGACTATCCAAATGCCTAATCTCTGTCCCTTGCAGCAATGATGGCCCACGTAATTTGCGCCAGATCTTTGAGGATGATGACAAACCGTTGCTAAACGAGTCCAGCAATCTGCGCTATCAGCCACAGTCGTCCACCAAGCAGCAGGAGCAGCAGAATGAACAACAGCAGCAGCAGCAGGAACAACAACAACAAACACAAGCACCGCAGCAACAACCAAAGCTCAAAGGAATGATTGCATCCATTTCGCGGAACAAGCGTGATATAATGACAGTCGACAGCTGGAACACGGTGGTGGCCAAGGTCGCGTATGGATTCAATGGCAGCGACAATGTGGGACGTGTGGGCGTTGCGCTCTCACGGAATGGAGCCGGCGCTGCCAAGCTGGTTGTGTATAAGAGCCGGACACAACTGCTGAGCACCCTGCTGCTGACTAAGTCGACACAGTCCTCGTCGCCGCGTATCGGGTCAGCCAATGTGATACTACGTGAATCGTATATGCAGTTCTACGACGATGAACAGCATTTCTGGAGCCTGCGCTTTGAGGTTGCCAAGGATGAGGAAGAGTTCACCGCTGCTTTAATGAAGCTTGGCCTGCCCATCGAGGAGTTGCGCATCGATGAGGCTGACAAATCAAGCAATGAACCGCCATCCGCATCTAATGCATTGCCTCAGTCGCAGTTGACGCCGTCGCTGAAGCAGATCTCCGAAACGTCAGGTTTACCTGCGAATCCAGAGGCATTGCCCAGAACCTACGACAGCGAAGGTGAATCACCACAGTCCACAGAGGACAGCGTTACCACACACCGGGCACGCTCCATTAAGAAATCTCAAAAGACGTTGCCAGGAAGGAGCACCACAGTGTCGCTGCCGAAGAAGCTAGAGCCGAATAAATCTCCAGCGACGCCCTCTAGCAAACTGGAGCTGTATCTGGATGAGCAACGGGCCACTGGTCATGCTATGGACAAGAAAATGGACACCATATTGCAGGCCATGTGCCGGCTGACAAGCAACAGCAATTTGCCATTGAAAGAGAGCAGCGGCGATTCGATGGTCCTCTCGATCGAGCATCAGGATTCGAGGAAACTGGACAGCATTCTGCAGGCGATGAGCCGGGTGGCCAACAACAACGGGATGCAACAGCTTAGCGAGAGTCTGGACACAACACGCGGCCTCACAGACAATGAGGATGAGCTGCTTGAGCTGGAACAGAAGCTGCTCGATTTCAAAAAGGAGAATCGTTCGCTTATGAAGAGCCTGCGGGCCAAAGAGCAAGCGCTCGCCGATCTGCGCGCCTCCACTTGTGCCCTCTGCGAGGAGCTGCTGGCCCAGAACAATGAGCTCAAACAACAGAATACTGCGCTCATTGCGGCCATGACCAAGCAGAGCAGCTCCAACTCCCTCACAGCCATCGTTCCCGCTGGCAATTCGGCATTCGCGGTCGCCGACTGCGAGAATTGCGAAAAGTACTTGGCAAAGATATCGGCGCTGGAGCGTCGCCTATCCACACTGCAGAGTGCTCTGCTCAATTATACGGCCAATGGTCAAATAGTGTCAGCAGCAGCAGCAACAACAACAACGAGCCTATCGACAGCACAGGCACCGCCCCAGGCTGCTCCACCCCCACTCTAGAGATTAAGGCATTTCCTCTTGACCAAAATGTTCTACTTCTTTGTATTATATTTACTGTATTACTAGCGCGCGTGCGTGGGTGAGTTCCTTGTGTATGTTATGTGTGAATGTGTATGTGTATGTGCACGCACGTTAAGTTAAGTGTTGTCTACATCAAATGTTAAATTATCATAGTTAGTGATTGACTCAAATGCTTAAGACCGTTTTCGATCAAATGCCTCACACATAAACCAAAAAAAATTGAATAAAATAAATAAATTTGGCTTGTAGTGTAATCGGCACATAAATCCCATATTTCCCGTTATTCGCGACTACTGCGTCAACTACAGTTTTCGTGATTATGAAATGCATTTAAGCAAGCTCTATGATAAGTTGAATTGTAAATAATTATAGCAGTCGCCGCTAACAGTCCTAAGCTCCCATTAAATAAATCTGGCTGACAATACAATCGTAAGACAAGTCTACATATCTATCACTCGGGTTAGTCAAAGTAAGGGAAGGTAGCGCGTGCGCATGACGTCACAATTGCCATGCTTTGCTTTGTGTAATTGCAATATGCAACTATGCGTGCTTACTGTTATTCGTGAGCATGTATGACGTTCATCCTTAAATATACTTGCAAGCAACTTAATATATGTATGTAGCTAATCGTAGCTGCAGATGAAGAGCAATGTAGCCTCAGTTGGGTATCCAAAACATCGTACCAGAAATACTTACCTCACAATTTAGACAGACTTCGACACTTATCCAATCGTACCTACATACATGCACGTCTCGATAAGCAGCAGCGCCCACAGTGATAAACAGTAAACAACATACTTATGTATATGTATGTATGTATATAAATTGATGTATTATTGAACAAATTTGTACAAACTAATTTGTTATATTTGCAAATCATAAATGACTTTCATTCAGGAGAGGATTGTCAACTAAAAACTAACACGAGTTCAAATGTGTCTCCATGCCTGTCTGTGTCTATGTGTGTGAGAGGATGTAGGTATATGTGTGTCTGTGTGAGTGGGCGTGTGGATTGGAAGGTCTGCTTTTGGTTGAGGAAGCGCAGGATAACTAAATTGGCTTCACAGATTCATCCATGCAATATGGTACTAATAACTCTAGCCTAAGTTGCTCTAATTTCTCATTTCTCAATTCTCATTTCTCGCTTCGTTTCATTTGTTTAGCCTTTTTAACTAAATGCCATTGCAAGTGCTTTGGGTAGTCATTGCTAGCTAGTAGGTGCTGCTATCGCTTAGACTGCTGAGGTAACTGCTGGCGCCTGCTGCACTGCCAGCGCCGCCAGTGCCGGCTCCGGCATTGGCGCTAGTGCGATGCCTCTTGCGCTTGGACTTGGATTTTTTGCGACGCAGCGCTGTTGTCTCAGCTTTCCGTTTGTATTTGCCTTGGCGTTTCTTTTTACGCCCATACTCGTCCGATTCGCTGGTGCTGGACTCTTCGTTGTCGCTGGAATCCGATTCCGTGTCGCTAGATGAATCGCTTGTCGATTCGCTGTCCGACGATGAGGTTGATGAGGTGCTGGATGAGTTGCTGCTGCTGGTGCTGGCAGCCCGACGACGCTTCGATTTTTTGCTGGTGCGTTGCTTCTTCTGCTTTTTAGACACATCTGATGATTTACTGTTAGCTTTAATCTTTGACTCCTTGTGCTTCTTGCTCTTTCTCTTGCGTTTCTTGTGCCGTTCCGCTTTCGAGTGTTTCGATGCGACTGTTTTGCTGCTGCTGCTGCGTTTGCTACTGCTGGTGTGTTTGTTGCCGCCGCTGCTACTGCTGTTTTTCTTATCTGGCTTGGTTGCCTCTGCTGCAACTGGTTCAATATCGCCCTCGGCTTTCAGCTCCTGGGCCCGCAGCTCGGTCAACGGCGTTAAATAATCGAGCTCCGAGTCAGAGCTGGTGCTTTCCACATCGAGCAGTATCTCCTTGTTGGGATCAACCTAGGCGATGGGCGGAAATTGTTATGCTCTGGCCTTGTCTACTTGTCATTTTGCCAGTGCATAGCGGCTTTTGCTTACCTTGAGAAAATTGCGGCATTGGTAGGTCAGGTGACCCGCGTAGCCGCACTTCTTGCATGCCGCTCGCAACGTATCTTTATTGGAATTAGCTAGCGGAAAGTTCATCTCGCTTGCCGTTCTTGTTTATTTCTCCTTTTTCAATTTTGCTTGGCCATTAATTAACGTGATTGCGGCTCTCGCGTTTAGTTTGATCTGTCTTAGCTACCACACGGCGGCTGTTGTTGTTGTTCAGCTTGTATCGATACAGCTATCGATAAGCGCGCGATAGCCATAAACGGGACAGGCCACAGCAAGTCGTTCTCACTGGCAGCGTTACAGGAACCGACCTGTTTGCATTCGCAGTGCAATTGAATGAAGATGTCAATGAAGTGATTTTCTTTAAAAAAGTGCGGTAAAATAATATTTTTCAAAATTTCAAGTTTATTGAAAAATAAAAGATTGATTTTATGGAATTATATACTGACTCTCTGGTAGTAAAGCTAAATAAATGGCTTGACATATATCAATGAAATTGCTATGGCTAACAAAAAGATGTGTTTCTGTTCACTCAATATGCGATTTTTAGCGGCAATAATTTGATAAAGTGCATTTTCAATATGTATTGAACACGCTCATCGATACATGGCATTAATGCATTTTCGCATTTACTCTTTTCGATTAACAAATGTATTGATTATTTTTGCAATAGTAAACAATGCATTCAATCGAATCGATTGCCATCGATAGTGTTATTGTACTCGTGGACACTTGCCTATCGAGTAGTAAAACAAATTTTGCAGTGCAAGTGTGTCCAGTGTACGTCAGATATGTCAGAGTATTGGCAATTGTTATAAACGAATTCGCCGTGCGTTGTCAACTGGAGTGTAGCAAAGTGCCAGAAGGTTTCCGACAAAAAGCTTTCACCTCTTTTTACACGTTCTCACTCACACACACACAATACACAATACAGAACAAACACTCACTGCACAAAGTAAAACAATATTTGCAACAACAATTGAATTGGGAAACCCCCCAGCAAGATGCAACAGAACTCGGCCAGCAATCCGTTTTCGGTGGCTGCCTATGGCGACCGACCCCAAATGGGGCTGGACGTGGAGTTCGGAGCGGATCCGGCCAGCGGTGCAGCGTTCTTCCAAAGCGATGGCCGTAAACACGACGATCTCAAGCAGATGCTTGATAGCAACAAGGATGGCCTTAAGCTGGAGGCGATGAAGCGCATCATAGGCATGATTGCGCGGGGCCGAGATGCCAGCGATCTGTTCCCGGCTGTCGTCAAGAATGTTGTCTCCAAGAACATTGAGGTAAAGAAGCTGGTGTATGTGTACTTGGTGCGCTATGCGGAGGAGCAACAGGATTTGGCGCTGCTCTCCATATCGACATTTCAGCGTGCACTCAAAGATCCCAATCAGCTAATACGTGCGTCCGCCTTGCGTGTGCTCTCTTCCATACGGGTCAGCATGATTGTGCCCATCGTAATGCTGGCAATCCGCGACAGCGCCGCGGATCTCAGTCCCTATGTGCGCAAGACGGCGGCGCATGCCATACCCAAGCTCTATTCGCTGGATGCTGACCAAAAGGATGAGCTGGTCACGGTGATTGAGAAGCTGCTCTCAGATCGCACCACCCTGGTTGTGGGCTCCGCAGTGATGGCCTTCGATGAGGTAGAGGCTTCGATATGCTATTCGAATATTGTCATGCCATTGATGAGGGTTTCTTTTGTTTGATTCTGATTCAGGTTTGTCCGGAACGCGTGGATCTGATACACAAAAACTACCGCAAGCTGTGCAATCTGCTTGTCGATGTGGATGAATGGGGTCAGGTGATTATCATCAATATGCTGACTCGCTATGCGCGCACACAGTTTGTGGATCCCAATGCGGACGAGGAGCACGGCCAGGGCGAATCCCTCGATGCCGATGCGCCGGCCAATGAGCGATTCTATGACGAATCCTCAAGTTCCAGCAGCGATGAGGAGGCCAGCAGCGATGACGAGGCACCAGGCCAGACCAAAGCCAAGTCCAGCAAGTCAAGCAGCAGCAACAACAACAACAACAATGGCAAGGACAAGGACAAGGTTAAGGATAAGGAGAAAGACAACGACAACAACTGCAGCAACAGCAGTAGCAACAACGGCTACCACATCGATCTCGACCATCGGCTGCTGTTGCGCCAGACCAAGCCGCTGCTGCAGTCGCGCAACGCCTCCGTTGTGATGGCCGTCGCCCAGCTGTATCACCACGTGGCGCCCCGCAACGAGGTGCAGCTGATAGCCAAGGCACTCATCCGTCTATTGCGATCGCACAAGGAGGTGCAGAGCGTGGTGCTCAATTGCATTGCATCGATGTCGGCGCGTCGCAAAGCGATCTTCGAGCCGCATCTGAAATCGTTCTTTGTGCGCACCAGCGACCCAACGCACCTCAAACTACTCAAACTGGACATACTCACCAATCTGGCGTCTGCCTCGAGCATATCGCTCATCTTGCGTGAATTCCAAACCTACATCTCCAGCAATGATCGGCCCTTTGTGGCGGCCACCATTCAGGCCATTGGACGCTGTGCGGCGAGCATCAAGGCTGTCACCGAGACCTGCCTGAGCGGCCTCGTCCATTTGCTGTCGAATCACGATGGTGAGCTATAGATGATTCAATTATGTATACATACGTGTATTCGAATGCTTAATTCCTAAATCTTAACTCTACTCGAATCTCAAATTAGAGCACGTGGTCGCCGAGAGTGTGGTGGTCATCAAGAAGCTGCTGCAGAGCAAGGCCGCCGAGCACTATGAGATTATCACCCAGATGGCCAAGCTGATTGACTACATCAATGTGGCAGCCGCCCGGGCAGCCATCATCTGGCTAATTGGCGAATACAATGAGAAGGTGCCGTTGATAGCGCCCGATGTGCTGCGCAAGATGGCCAAATCGTTTGTGGACGAGCAGGATGTGGTCAAGCTGCAGGTGCTCAATCTGGGCGTCAAACTATATCTCACCAATCCGGAGCAGACCTCGTTGCTGTGCCAGTACGTCTTTACGCTGGCCCGCTACGACACCAACTACGATGTGCGCGATCGCGCGCGCTTCTTGCGCCAGTTCATCTTCCCCGCCAGCGGCGGCAGCACCGTGCTCTCCCAGCATGCACGGGAGATATTCCTGGCCGCGAAGCCGGCCCCTGTGCCGGAGAGCAAGTATCGCGATGGCAATCTCTATCAGCTGGGCTCGCTCTCTCACTATTTGAATATGCAGGCAACGGGCTACAAGGAGCTGCCTCCCTTCCCCGCTGTGGCGCCCGATTCGAGTGTGCGCAACATCGCTGGCTATATGCAGGAGAAGCTGCCCGGCGAGAGCCCGGCGCGCAGCAAATCCTCGTCGCAGGGCGCTGCCAAGGGGACGGGCGACAAGGGCTTCCTATCCGAATCAGAGAAGTCATCCGCATACACTGGCACCAGTGGCAGCAGCAGCGGCAGCAGCGGCTCCTCTGGCAGCGACGCCACCTCCGGCAGCGACAGCGAGCCGGAGCAGGGGGCGACGCAGCCGGCGAAGGCCGCTCGGGTCCAAGCACAAAGCAAGGCCACCAAGGCGCCCGTTGCTAGTGGCCAGCTGATCGATGGCATCAACAATAGCAGCAGCAGCAGCAGCAGCAACCCGATCGATCCGCTCGCTGTGGCTGCCGCTGCCGCCGCCGCTGCTTCCTCAACGGGCAACAACAACAACAACAATGCAGTCGCCAACTCGGGCACCTCCGACAGCGGCGAATCGTCGTTCTACAGCGGCAGCAGCAGTGACGAATCCGACAGCGACTCGGCCAGCGACAACGAGCAGCAACAGCAGCAGCAGTCGCAGTCGCAGTCGCAGTCGCAGTCAAAGAATGCTTCATCCGCCGATCAGAAGCAGGAGCCGCAGTCGCAATCGTCAGCTAAAACCAATTTGGATCTGCTGCTCGATCTGGATGATATACCGCCCATTGGGCCAGTGATGACGCCCTCGCTAGGTGGCTTCCTCACACCAGGTGAGATCTGCTCTCTCTGTCTCGCTTGAGAGATTTGCTCAGCTATTCATGTATCCATTTGCAGGCACTCCCATGCTGCCCGGCCAGGCTGCACTGCAGCCGGTGCAGGCGAGCAATCGCATCGAGCTGGTTGGCCCCTCGCACACGGAGTTCAAGCACAAGGAGCTGCTGAACAAGGTGAGCGGCCATGGGCTGCAGCTGTCGTATCGCTTTACACGTGCGCCGCATCTATATTCGGCGGCCATGTGCTCCATTGAGCTGCAGTTCCAGAATCGCAGCGACCAGGTGCTGACCAACATAAGAATGGGCCAGCAACAGTTGCCGCCGGGCATGCAGCTCAGCGAGTTTGCGCCGATCGCACAGCTGCAGCCGGAGCAGCTGGCCAGCGGCATTCTGGGCGTCGATTTCAACGACACAACGCACGCCATTGACTTCGAGCTCATCTCCAGCGGCGGCTGTGCACGGGTGCAGCTAAAGCCGCCGGTTGGCGAGCTGGTGCGCTCTGTGCAGATCAGCGAGAGCTTTCACAAGGAGGAGCGCGCCAAGCTGCGCGGCATGAACGAGCACCAGTGCGAGCTGCGCGGCGTGCAGCGGGACCTAACCGATCTGCTGACGCTCAAGCAAAAGGTCTACGAGTGCATCAATGTCGCCCACACGTACAGCTCGGCCAGCAATCAGCTCCATTGCTTTGCCGGCCAAACGCTGAGCTCCAAGAGTCTCGTGCTGCTCACGCTGCAATGGCAAACGGACGAGGCGCTCACGCTGCTGGTCAACTGCGAGAAGATGGTGATCGGATCGATGGTGCTCAACGAGCTGCGCAATGCGCTGCAGCAGAGCTTTGTCATGTGAATTGCGATGGCTGTATGGATGGTTATATGTATATCTATATTCTATATATGATGCAGTCACATTTAGCCAGGGCAACACGAGATGGTTTCTTATGGTCACATGGAAGAAAGTCGCCGCACTATGTAAAGCTAAGCAGAACAAAAACGATATAACATACTAAACCTATATACATATACATAGACATATAGGGATATATGTCCATATACTAGCCTAGATTAAGCCAGATGCGATTCCATGCAACTTAAATGAATGTAAAAGCTAAGCAACAATTTATATAGTCTCATCTGTATCTCTGTGTGTGGGTGTGTATGTATATCTACATATATATATATATACATATGTGTGTGTGTGTGTGTGTGTATGTATATATAATCTGTAACTACA